ATTTTTGTATTTGCTGCTCCTCCGAGGAATATAAGGTATCCACTGTTAAGTTCTAACATCTCTTTCGTCTAACTTCATTAAGTCCTACAATGGTCTACATGATTGTCCTAAATCCCTCTCTCAGTTTTTAGTTCTTTGTTTTCCCTAGAAAAGAAAGGAAGGAAAGTTTGTGGACGTTGGAATATCAGTATTTCTTCACTTTGATGATTGGACCATTTTGGTGCTTTTCTTCTCATGAAGTTCATGATGCAGTGCTGATCTCCGTTTCTATGCCATCAGCCAGCCGTGTTTTGTTTTAAAAGCAGACTCTATAGCCATGTGACAAATATCCTGTTTCCTTCCCACAGAGTGGTACTCACTTCACAACCTGGGAAGATGGGCGAATGACCCTGACCGAGGCTTAAACTCTGGGCCCGTTGGTTCTGAGTTTCACGTTTGGCCGATTGAACTTCCCCGGTATGAAGCAATATGTAGTAAATTCTTCGCTCAAGATAATTCACGAGTAAGACAAAATTGTCCTATAGCAGAATCGGACTCCGCAAATCTAGCGTTCGCAGCAAACCTGTTAGACAACTGTAACAACTCGCCACATTTTGCCCAAAAGTGATCGTCAACTTTACATTTCCAAAGGTAGTAAACCGTAGCAGTTCCAGTTCGAAACCTGAGTATTTTTAGCGGCCTCTGCCGTCACACATGACCAGTTGCTGCGTTTGCCGACGTTAGTCCAGCCTCTGAGGAATTGGCGCTGCGGTTTCAGTCATGTTGTCGTCTTAGAGAAGTTACTCAGCACGCCTCCCGACACGCACCAAAAGAGAGATCACCATCCAAAACGCGGGGACAACTACTCCAGGTTTAACCCTATCCATCATCTTGACGTATAAGATCTTGCGGATCTTGCTCCAGGTAGAACAGTGCTGCTCGTTCCCCGAAACTGAACAAAACTATTTTAGTAAATGAAAATCGATTTAAGTCAGTTTGAAAAAAAATTGTTTAAACAAACTAACTTTGCCATTCATGGTAGTTACCCCATATTCTCAGAGTTATTTTTTAAAATTTTCTGTACATTTGCCTCCGGATAGTGACAATTTTGTTCTTGTTCGTCCCGATTCAGTGATACGGTCTTGCTTCCTCTGCTCTACAGGTGCTGCAATGCCATGCAGCTGTGGTCTATTTAGGTGCTCCTCCTAGGCAACTAAAAGCAAGCGAGGATTTGTGGCGGGGGAGGGATGCAGTATCGCCATACAACCCTGTGTTATGACAGTTATTCGTCTTGCCCTACTGCAGTACCGCTGTTGAGTAAGTCACCTCTACAGTTTTCACAATGTAAATCCAATCCGTAAATGAAGAATAACTATTTAATGTTTGTAAACTTTAATCGAACACCACTGTCTAGTTCCTGTTGAAAACTTCTTTTGAAGAACAGTTACTACTTTATAAACATTTAATTCTTCCATTTCATGCATGCTACTGTACAGTGCATCTGCTTCAGAACATCCATGGCATGGCATCAGTATGAGCGTGGAAAGTTGTATATTTATTCATTTTCCTTACATTTTTCCCTTAAGATATTGTTCCTTTCCACCTGAACATTTCTGTCCTAATGATGAAACGGTGTGGATGATTTAGTATCGTGTGTGGCAGTGAATGACAATGGTGGAAACAGATGCGATTATTCGAAAATGCAACTCAGTGAGAAGCGTTGGCGTGGTGCTAGTCTTCACTTTTAACTTAATCTAATGTATTCTGTACAGGAACGACAGAGATGCGAATATCACGAATATGCAGCGCTGCTGAACAATGTATTCAGTAAATAATTTATGTCGTAAACATGAATTAGCTTTAATAAAAGGAATGTTAACTTTAAATAACAGGAACGAAACAGTTTGTTCTTTCTGTGTTTCCTGGGTGATAATAATTTAACATAAATTTAATTAATTTTCTGCAGTACATGTTGACATAAATACCTGAATATTTTCTTTGTAGGTAACCCGTATCCGCCGATCGTTTTGAAACCTGAAAATCACAGTCATAGCTTGTTAAACATTTTATTAAACGAAGCGAGGCGAGACTACCGCTGTAAGAAGGAGAAGTAAAGAAATTACTCAAAAGCGCCTAGTACAAATATGCGGTGTGTGTATGTATTTAGTTTTGTTTATCAACAAAATCATGCGAGATGTCTTTCGTTATACATGAAACCATATCCTCCGTAAATGGACACCTTAGGCATACATGCAAGCAACAAGAACAGTTCTGTAGACTCAAAATGGCTATTCCCGATGATGATTTTTTATAATAATTAATCGACAAGCATCGGTTTTCCACAAGTAAATAAACTTGTACCGTTATATCGTGCTTAAATAATTGATTTACAAGTCAGTAGGCTTGATTTGTTCTCCTGCGGTAAAAGTAAAGTTTGCGGCTCTGACAACATCATCAGCGAATTCTACTTTCCATTATAAGTATAAGAGACACTGCTAAGTGATAATAGTTAATAGATAAGTGATTCAGTAATAAACTAAGTTAAGTCTCATAATCAGTTCAACAACGAATGACTCATCCAAGCCCACATTTTTCAGCATATTACACTGACCCCTTGCTCCTAGTTGCTTGGGGGATATTTAAACGGGACGAGGTTCCGGATGGCCCCCTACGCAACTAGAAGTAAGGCTTTGGTATGATACGTCATGCAATCTGATTTTGGAGGAGTCATTCGTTATTTGACTTATTCAGGTTATGAACAGTTTATGGCTGTAATCAGCGTAACCCTGTTAGACCATAGTTAATTCACGTTGTTAGTGTTCAACTTTTTTCCCTAAACCAACATAAGCAACGATTCAAATTTACTTCAAAGATTGGAAAAAAACGACAAGTTTGTAACCGTTCAGATGTTGGTCTCCATTACACTTTCGTGATTAGGGTGATTTGTGGTGCACCTTTTTCAAGAAGTTCCGGGTGCGGCGCAGAACTTCGTTTCTACAACAGCAGCCAGTAATGCGCTTTTAAGCGAAATCTACGCTACGTGGCAATCAACGTATTGTATATTTCCTTGATAACAAAAACAGACTGGTACTCATTTGACTCGACTGCAGCTCGAACTCTGTGCCTCTCGGTCCTGATTTCAACGCTCTATCGAAGTAGTAACCCTGGTAATATTGACTCAGGCAGTAGCGGCTGTCACTGAAACTTCATACAATTACGCATTTGATCGCCCTGGAGAAAATTTATTTCGAAATCCGAAAAAAATTCAGACTACGACGTTTATTCAACAACAACAGTTTGAACAGCATCGTCCTCGAAAACCAGCTATGAACTTAGCACTGAGTCCGTGCAAGAATGCTATCTCATGTTATGAAGTGATAACCGCTGCTTTCTTCGTAACATCGAGAATTGTATTACAGTTACGACACTGAGCGCAGTTACGGAATGACTCGTAAACATATCACGCAGAATTCAGTCTGTTGTACAACCTCTGCTTAACATTTCTGTAAATCATGATAGCTTTTCGCCTTTCTGCTTCGATGATCTTTTGTCTTGCTTTATCCATGATTTTGATAGTTCCGTCATTAACGAATCTCGGGATTAAAGAGTTATGCGGTTCAACGACGTCGAAAGGAGAAGGGCGTACAACAGCCGCCTGAAATATTTCATGCCAAAACGAATCATGTCAGACAAAAGATATAAAGCGTTACTTTTCTTTTCCTTTTCGAGAGTTTAGGCGGTTCTTTTACTACTTCGCCAAACCTGATCTTATCTAGAATTCGAGAAACATAAATTACAGTTGATAAAAGTGAAATCAGAGCAATAATGAATATGAAGAAATATACAAATATATAGGATAGCTTGAAACAGTGCAACCAATATAGAGGGAATCGCATTGCTGAATCCCTGATGTCTTTGAATTGTCATTCATATATTGATTTCAGAATTATATTCTTTCACGACTGATTGAAGTACGGTGGGTTATTCAACTAAGAAGCTACCGTAGCCGTAACAGTATAGATTCCAATCCATTCTTTCTTGAATTTTCAAATCCAGACCGTACCTCTCCTTATACTTCCCTCAACAGATTTCTTTTTTACATTTTTCAGACGAAACTTGTTTACCACTGAGTGTTTGCGATTTCCCTCTGCTTTGTTTTCTTAATTTTTATTGTAATATTGCACTATACAGCACCAGTGATAGCTCTGTGCCGGAAACTGAAATATCAAAAGAAGCGAATGCCACTGATTTCTGTAAAGATGATCAGGCCAACTGAAAGGAAGAAGTTCTTGAAACTGTGTTCCAGTCATACATGCCATCGATGTTTCCCGTCTAACCGCCCCCTGAGCATAAGAAACTAAGGAAGTGATAGACCTTCGACTGAGAGTGCACGCCTTCCGCAGTAATCAGGAAATTAGCCTACCTTGAAGCACTGCCTTCTCGAAGAATTCGGAATCATCGTCTTTTTGCTTTCTTTTCTTTGAACGCTTGCGCCGTTTGGATGGTACAGGATTAACTGTTCTCGATTCGTTGTCCATCAGTAGCATTCCTGATAGACCATATTTAATCTATATCTCTAGGTTAAAATAAAAAGAAGTTACGAACACTTGGTTGGCACCTTGATTTGCTCTTCTGCGATGAACTGATGAGTTTCCTTTTCCACTCGCCGTAAAAACGCACGTACACTTTCATGGTCCTTCTTCACAAAACCAGACAACTGCTTCTTTTTGTGCCCTAAAAAACTTCAATATTTCTGCACTAAAAAAACAAAAAAACCTTTTTTGTCGGTGTTTGCACTTTTTCGGAAAATCTCCTTAATCGATCTTGGTACTTCTTGGAGATCATCATTCACGATCGGAATATCGCTTAAGAACGAATCATGAAACTTCTATTAAAAGATGCAAACGTAAAGACGAAGATCAGCTTAATGAACAAAAACATGAATACAGTATAAACATATTATAATAATATGAAATACTAAGTAACGTGAAATAACCGACAGACCAGAAACGAAATTAAATTAGACTTTTTGTTGCTTGAAATTTGCATCGAATTAATTAAAACATCAATCTGTTTTTATCTGTTAATTCATCCCTTCATATAATACCCTTAGCAATCTTTCGTTCCTACCAGATACAGTTTCTTACATTCGAAGGTGCTCGTTGACAAAGTCGAAGGTACTCGTTGATTGGCAGATTCGATTTACCGTTTCAATAAAGAAGTACTGCTGAAAAACAGTTTTCGAATAAGAATACGATTTGCATTCTTATCCGTCCCTTGGTTCGGCAACCTTAAGCATAGTACTAGAAACTGTACTTATTTGATGATATCCCTCAGGCCTGAAAAAAATATGACAGACTAACCGAGTCGTCGCCGATATTTGGCAGAAAAGGACGGTAGAAAGCTGTTTCCATACCAAAGAAAGTTAAATAATTAAAAATATTGCAACTATCATAACGAAAAATAAACTAAACCAGCATGACGCCAGCAAGACTGAATAATTCATAGAAACAAAATCCAATTCACTGTTATGTTGCTTTTGTGGCTTAAGTATTTAGAGTTCACAATAAAGGCCGATCGTAAAAAATTTTATGCGTTTTGTCAGCGGAAAATAAACAGCTGAAGGAGTTCTAAAGGACGGATGAACGAATGGAAAATTATACATATGAAAATTCCAGATTTTCTATTCATAGCCTTCCAGTAGTGTAATGAATTCGTAACGACAAATTATAATTTGACTTATCTCATTGTTCCCTCTTCCCATGCAATAATGGGGTGATTTGACTGAAATGATTTTACTTATTTTTTAAAGTTTCGCGATCAACCGTTGCAGAAGTTCATTTAAATTGAACTACAGATATTTATATTTACAGAAGGTATATACATACTATAAAATATTACA